TTAATAACTTAATATGGATCATTATATGATCCAAATTAAATCTATATAAGGTTTTAATAAAACCATATTTATTGGAATCGTTATTAAGTATTTATATTAAATTTTAATAAAATTTATATTTAATTATATTAAATTTATATATATTTTTTTCGCGGGAAAATATCTTTTATTTCATTGAAAGTCGGGGCTGTTCTTAATTCTTTTTATATTTTTTGAGTATCTTTCCATTGTACAATCGCCAGTAGTTTTTATAAAACAGAGTGGAAAGAAATTGTATGTAACCACTTCCATCTCTATGAAACAATAGAAGGATAAGTCGCAGGTAATGCAGTCTTTTCATTAGCGAAATTCCATTTTTAAACACATCTACAAAATCGTACCCGATAAAAGTTGGATAATTCAAAAAGAAACCTCGAAAAGTATATCGATCGATCGATAAACTGTCGAACTTCCTACATTCCTAAATTTGTTTCGACTCTGCCACTTTTCCAGGGTGAACACGAAAATTTGTTGCTCCGCAAAAACGTTAAATGGGAATTAAAATATACGATAGGTGCTGTATCGATCGATTTAGAATTTCCCGGTAGGTAGTTTTGTGAAGTTTACTATGGCACTTGCGAGTCTGTACGCTTTCGCCGAGTAAGTAACTGAATCAAAACTTTCGCGAAGCGCTTCTCTCATTCATTGTTGCGTACCACGAAACCTGCTTATCCTGTACATTTATTTAGATGCAAATAGCGGTGAGGTCGACGCAAAATTCAAGCTTATTAAGAAGCTATTGTATATTAGAAATTCCAGGCACGTTACTTGGTGATAAACGTATTTGGTGAATAGGAAAATGTTCTTAGTGAAAACTATTCTTTGTCTCTCTATTAAAGAAAAAAAGTAATTTTACCAGATTTTAACTTTTAATCTTTACAGGAGCACATTTTTCTGTTACGAGTGAATATTTATTAATATCCATAGTCAGATATTTTATTTGGATCACTGATTAAATCTAAAGTATTTTAGAAATTTAGAATAATAGAGCAAAAATTTAAAATCCAATATATTGAATTTTGTACTTTTATTCATTTTTTCTTTTTATAAGAATTATTATTATTATAAGAAAGTAATTTTTATATATTCAAGACTTTTTAAATAAAAAATGAATATACGTGTGAAAAAATTCTCCATAAATTATATATATTACAAATTAAAGTGTGCTTAACATTTATTTAAATTTACAGCTTTATTATTATTGTTATGTAGGTATAGCCTAATTTGGAAAATTAATACTCACATTTTCCTCTATTTTTGTTTCAAACATTTCGAGTCGCTCATTGTTCTTGCTTAAAAAGTGTGTTCCGTTCTTCCACGTCACATTAGCAGCGGGTCGTGCGGCTTGTACTTTACATTGCAATAAAATCTTTGTGCCCTGCACGACGTGACCAACCACTCCATCCAAATCCATTTTCAGTGGGCGTACTGTAAAGAGAATAGTCAAGTGTCAGCCTAATATGTAATAAAACTGAGATATGACTCCGTTAAATCGAGCAAATTATGATACTGTAAAATTAATGTAAATCTCTATTAAAATTAATATCTTTTTATAAACAATTCTAACATTTTTTAAAAAGTCGAAATAATAACTCAATTATAACTTTCATTTATTTTCTACATTTTTCTTGTTTTTTTTTTTAGTAGTAATATTGTTTGAAAGGGAAAAAATATTTCTATATAACGTGATTTTAAATCAGTTAATTATGTTTTTATTTTTATTAATCGTATAGTATATTACAGCATATACAGAGCAGAAGGTTAATGTACACAATATTCACAATAAATATTTTTTTAATAATATATTATATAATTTATATATTAAGGAAAGAGCTTTTTAAAATTAAAATAAAAAT